AGAAAAATTGACGTTTCAGCTGAGTGAACGTGTTCAGGCAATATGTAATCAATATTTGCATTATACCTCAACGTCGGTGGAGTGGTGGCGTAGTGGTTGGTACACATAACTTTAAACCCAGAAAACCGAATACCGATTTCTATAAGAATAAATGTTACCCTTTCTGGCAATAAAACAGTTGTGTTAAGATGTTAAAACACCAAACAGAAACCTTGTTCAAGGAATCATGTCTGCATTAACCACACATACTTGTTAACATGCACAAAAAAAACACATGCTCTGGGAGTATGTGATGCATGGTCTTTGAAACTGAATTGGTCCACACCAGAAACAGCTTTCTTTAGAGCCTAGTGTCTCAAACAGTGTCTCAAACCAGAGGACGCCAAAGAGCGAACGATGTCTAGCCACGATTAGCACCGGTGGCGGATGACATCTGAACCTGTTCCACCAACCCCGAAATTTACCAGCGCGGTGAAGTATGGTCAGACACACGGCCTGGGGAGGGTCTTCATCCAGGCAGTGGATTTATTCGTTCGCCAATGTTTGTGCCACTGCCGAATTAAGACGTCCCCACGTTCCTGCATGCGAACCAATTCCATCGCTCCATCTCCCCGGTTGTGATCCTCTCGAGTGGATTCAAGGGCTCTTAAATTCGTGTACGGCTGTAATTTGATTTCGGCCCAGTCCAGCAAATTTCACGACTGTTGTCCAGATTCATATGGCAATGCGACACATTATAGGACAGTACACATGTATTCTAGATTTAAAGCTTTCGTGACTGCAAGGATCCATACTCTTTGGTTCTATTGGGTAAAGTCACGTAGGTAAAAAATAAAATAACAAAAATCACGACGTTTCGGCCACAACACAAGCGGTCTTCATCAAGGCGCTTTGTTTCTTCCCACACAGCTTAAAGGTCGTGATCTGAGCGTGGCTTTTTTCACTCCAGCGCTGTCCTCCAGACAGTCTCGTCCCTTCACCTGATGAAGGCCGCTTGTGTTGTAGCCGAAACGTCGTGATTTTTGTTATTTTATTTTTTACCTACGTGACTTTACCCAATAGAACCAAAGAGTATAGTACACATGAAGACTGCACTTTATATTTCTTACATCACATAAGCTCCGTCGATCGCGTAATGCTTATGTGCTCTACGATTACCATAAGGCGGCCTAACACGCGATAAGACTGACGATAAAGTCAGACAAATGTTTATCTAACGTATTACATACGGCCTGAGACATTTAACACAATTATCGTAAAAAAAACACACACAGCTAAAAAAAAGACGATAAAAGAGTGACAATAAACCGATGTCTAACCGCGGTCGAGCCATCGGGGTCTGTACTCGAAAGCTCCGGCCACACTCGAGGCCTCTTCTCCGGCAGAGAGAGTTCAGGCCACACCGGGGGACTCGCGGCAAACACCGAGGATCAACCTAGGCCTCACCGGCGCATTATACAAACAAGCAACAAAAGTGTAACAAAGCAGCGAAAACTCTTCACCTATGTTTGCGCGCCTCATGCTGCGGTTTTCTCGAGACGTTTGGTGCACTTCAAATCGGTCGCTCGATTTTAAGTGTTTTCAAAGCGGACTCGGGAGATCGCTCCGGGACGCGTTCAACTTCGGAGGCCACGTCAACTGCTGCCAGTGACGCAGGACGACGGTCGGATACGTCACCGACGATTGACTTTTTACGTAATGCATTTTTTTATTATTATTATATCGTTGGTTAATTTATTTTATTCACATTTATTCGGATGAAAACGACGGACGTACGGACGGTGTTTATTAAAGTAATGGCTTTAATTAGGCGCAATGCCATTCGTAGACTGAGCGACCGTTCCGCTTGGTGTTTGTCGGCTTGATTTGCATTTATTGATTTAAAGCTTTCGTGACTGCAGGGATTCATATTCTTTTTGGTTCTTTCGGTAAAGTCACGTAGGTTAAAATAAAATAACAAAAAAATTAACAATTAATTGTTATTTTTTTTTACAATTAATTGCTAATTTTTTTGTTATTTGTTATTTTTTTGTTAACAATTAATTGTTATTTTTTTTGTTATTTTATTTTCACCTACGTGACTTTACCCAATAGAACCAAAGAGTATGGATCCTAGCAGTCACGAAAGATTTAAATCTAGAAGGGATTCATATTCTTTTTGGTTCTTTCGGTAAAGTCACCGCGTAGAAGGGAACATGTATTGTGTAACAAATTCGATGTAGGCAGGGTTCATCATCGCCTCCACGTCGTCACTTATTTTTTTACTCAAAATATACCCCAATGCCACAATATGATATTGTTACTCTTTGGTTCTATTGGGTAAAGTCACGTAGGTAAAAAATAAAATAACAAAAATCACGACGTTTCGGCCACAACACGAGCGGCCTTCATCAGGTGAAGGGACGAGACTGTCTGGAGGACAGCGCTGGAGTGAAAAAAGCCACGCTCAGATCACGACCTTTAAGCTGTCTCGTTCCCTTCACCTGATGAAGGCCGCTTGTGTTGTGGCCGAAACGTCGTGATTTTTCTTATTTTATTTTTTACCTACGTGACTTTACCCAATAGAACCAAAGAGTATGGATCCTAGCAGTCACGAAAGCTTTAAATCTAGAATATGATATTGGTCGCCTACGTGTTAAAATGAGTGCGTAAGGGCTTGCACATCCCAGATTGCCCCATATAAGAGGCCCGGCCTTGTGGAAGTAAATATCACAGAACAACTTCTGAGATGATTTTTTTTTTTAAACACACTTTTCTTTTGTTTTAAATCTGCACACGCTGGACGTTGTACTTTGGCACACTTTTACTCTAGCCACACCTGACATGACAGCCAAAGTTTTACACACGAAGTGAAAACGCAAATGTAATACGTTGTTGGGTATTGAAACCGTCAACACGCAATTATTGAGAAACCTGATTTTAATCACGAGTAGCTTCAAGCCATATTCATAACCAGGATCTCGGGGGGTTTTACCTATAATCCACCCCAATTTGACTCATCACTTGGAGAGAATATTATCTTGTAACAGCAAGCAACATAAAACAAATTGGTGCAGAATGTTCCGTGGCTCATGCACTCAGATCCTGATGACTTCCGTTCCTGGATTCAAAACTGAATTTCGAAGATCACTGATTATATTGGTAAAAAGACAAAAATAAAAATTGGTTTTCTACATCGACACAAGCACTGCTTCACCCCAATGTTCCGTTTGGAATTGATAAAAGCTACCATACTGCCTCTACTTGACTACTGTGACATCGTGTATTAATCAGCCCCAAGTACTGTACTGAAGAAGCTTGATTCAATCTATCACTCGGCCTTAAGATTTGCATTGAACTGCCCATATAGGACTCACCACTGTGATCTCTACATTGGGTCAAACTTAACATCTATTAATGTTCGACGGCTTGTACACCAGATCTTATTTATTCACAATGTACTTACAAAAAAATCCGCAGACTACCTGCTGGATCTCCTCTCTGTTTCAAAGAACAAATTTGACCTCAGGTCTTCGCTCATTTACCAGCTTCACATTCCCTATTGCTGTACAAAAACCGGAGGAAGGGCCTTTACTATTGATGCCCCCAGGGTCTGGAATGCTATTGCCAAAAAACTGCAACTTGAATCACTACCTAGGAGATCTTCTCTCAAAACTGCTCTAGAGGAGTTGTACACCCCTAGCTGCCACTGCTATTCATTGGCGTAAAATAAAATAAAATGTTTTCGCTCCGGATGACGCTGCAAAATATTATCTGTATTTTTATTTAGCGTGCTGATCTTAAAGGTGCATTGAAAAATTTGATACTCCAACTGATGCTTCTGTTATTGTGGAGTAACTAATGCAGCCAGCTATGGCTCTAGGATTTGGTGTTACATGTTATTTATGTAGTTTATTGTAAAAATTCGGTCACAGTCCCTATGATCACTGTTACGTTGCAATTATCGCTTTATTATTTAGTGATTTTGAAAACATTTTTTGGTTTGGACATGTTTGTTTTATTGTGGTACGGAGTTAGACTGATGGCCTTAATCTAAGTTTTCTTGTGGTTGTTGTTTGACTTGCATCCCACTGGGATTTTTTGCACACAGCGTTGGTGTACGGTGCTTTTTTTCAGGAATATTTTTGCTGTTTTTTTTCATGGATTTTCTGTTTGCACAGTCACATCGTCACTTAAAGATGTTTTCTTGTTCGTGTTTTTGTTTTTTTGTTTTGTTGTGGTTGCACCCGATTCAAGAGCCGAATGGCTCACAGGGCTATACTAAAATAAAGAAACTGAAAACTGATCGTAACTGCTTGTATTTCACATGCTTGAACTTAGTTTCCAAAGTACAAAGTATGCAATGCAGCTGTAGAGATTGTTGCCCTGTGCACGCAAACTTGCGTCACATTGCTTGTGGTGACAATGACACCGCTTTTATTTGAGTCATTAATTTAATGAAATTAAATCAAAGCACGTAATACATCAAATTGTATGTAAGGTAGAAAATGTAATTTACAGGATGTGTCAAGAATGTGTAAATTTAAGTTCTAATTTCTAAAATAAAAACTAACTACCATCATCATGAATACTGTAGGATAACCAACGACTCGACATGGTAGATGCTGCTACGTGCTGATCAGTGTATGCTCCCACATATCACTTAACTTCATAACCAGTTCATAATCCATGTGTTTAAGACGTCTGAGTCACTGTAAAGTTGCAAGATGCCCAAGGCAACTAATTGAAAATCTTAAGAGTAGGAGAATAAAATGTCCACAGCCATGTTGCATAACTACCCTGTTTCAAGGCTTTCACTCTAAGGGTTTCATGGGTTGAGACTCTCCTGCACAACATCAAGACCAATCAATTCATGGCTGTCCATGATGGTGGAGCCCTTAAGGCCCAGCTGTTCATCAGCAAGAGCAACCTCTTAATTGTCTATTTCAATGGCAAATCCTGGGAAGGGGAGTCAGATATCATCTTGGCTTAGTGCCCAAAATCACATTCACTTTAAGAAAACTTTTAGTGATGTCTGTGATCTCTTTGGTAAACTCTCGACACAGAAATCATAGATGCAAACAATTTGTAACTGATTCATCCTGTTAGACACTGGTTAATAAACAATTTGGGGTGGGTATTAAACACATTTTCCCTGAGCTTTCATGAGAATAACAGCTCTACTGTGGGTGCAAACGTCTCCAGAATTTTGGCAGCATTGCAAAAGGTAAAGTAAATAGTTTTTTTTCTCCGTGAAATGTAGCATATGCCATGTCTGTTTTCTGTCGTGTTTGCAAATGTTTATATTACCCTAGAAACACGTGAACTATTATTTCATAGAATTAACTGAAATTACATGTTGCAGTAAAGACTTTATATACATTTCTTGTGCAACATCTCTTCTTCATCTTTTCATACTATAAAATGAAGTTCCCAATAATGTACTTATATAACCAGGAAAGCTAAACTGAGTCGTTTGACTCTCTTTCTGGCGGGTCCTGCTATATTTGGTTTGCATTTTAAGATGTTTTAAGCCAATTAATAATGAGTGTTTTTTATATATATTGGAGGAAAATTGAGCACCTGGAGAAAATCCACACGTGTGAGGGGGCAACACTCTATCCCCATGCAAATGGAAACAGCGATGAGGCCACTTACTGCACTGCCTTCTCCTGGCGAGCTAGGGTATGGCACCTCCGATTGGCACGGTTGGCTCGTACGGTGCAAAAGAAGTTCAACATTCATACATACCTCGACGGCCTCGGGAAGGTAGTTGTGAAATATTTGTATTATTCCCCAACCCTTGCTTCCTCCATAGTCTCGGAATATAATCATCTGTATCCACCACCACCAAGCAATCTAAACCATGTAGATTTTTTTTTTATGTTATGCAAAGGAGCGAATTTTGGGAATAAGTTCTGTAAAATAATCATACAGTTTCAATATGCAACAATTATACAAAACTTTAAAAAAATCACAATGCCTTCATTTAAAATAAATTATTTCCAATGTTTGCGTGGGTGGCATACATTTTCCAAGAGAATATGTATTTGTAATAATTAACTTTGTACTTAAAATGTGTTAACTATTAGAGAAAAAAACCAAGGCATTATTCATAAAATACATACATAATTCATCAATCACACACATACACTATCTTTTGCATATATTTCGCAACCCATTATCACTGAATATACATCTTAGGCACAATTAATTTTAATAATATGCATTCCTCTTAGGATTATAAGTGTTGGTGGCAATTATTGGAAAAATATATTAAATGTATTATTTTATGGACCACAACCACCACCACAAAACCATTCTAAATAACAAGTGAGGCTGATAATTACTTGAATTTTTTTCCAAGCGAAACTCAGAATTTAAATAATAAACAGTAAATTGTATGCAGAATTTGCAAGTTTATCGAATAAACCATATGTAACATCTGAATGTGGATAGAGTGAATAAAAAATAGATATATTTTCATGTTTTTGTTCCCATAATGTGATAAAAAAATGTATCATCAATGTCATATTACGAGACTTACTGCAATAACAATTTAAAATTCTCCCAGAGCTGGGCACCCATGTTGTTTGAGAATGGTCTTTAGAAGCAGATGTCAAATAACGTCTGAGACTCCTTCAAGTGATCGTTTTAAAATAAAAATAAATAATTTTCTGCATTCTCTATATGCAACGCCATTTCAAGATGCTGTACTAAAATCGGGACGTGCATGGCACGTATAAATGTGTGTGGAAAAGAGTTCCCCTCCGGTGTGTGTGGATACATGCATTGAAATATAATTTATTTTCGATTGAAAACGAATTTCTTAAGAACTGCGTTTTGTGTTTAGTTTGTTGTCCTTCCCCCGCACCTCCAATTAGCACGGTTGGCTACGTACGGTGCCGAAGAAGTTCAACATAAATACATTAATTTAATGTAGTGTGTTTTTTTTAATTTGCAGTCACTTGTGATTTTAGAACCTCGTTTAACCACGGGCAGCTAAAAATCTGAATCAAGCAAAGGATCTCAGTGGACATCTGTGAAAAAGAGCGTTATATGTAGCTCATCGGATTCTTCCAGAATACATCAATATTCTGTTTTGATATGTTCTGACCATTGAGCCACCTGGCCACCCTGAACGTGTGATGCTTATCTCAGAAGTTGTTCACACCATTTCTATGACAGCATATAACGCCGCTTTATGAAACAACCGCCAATACCATACACTGTGCAAGTTGGTCATAACGTTATCAAACCAAAGCACAGTTTTCTGAGCAAAGTTCAGAAGCGATACTGACTATTTATCTACCCGAGCGTCTGTACTTTAATTTAACCGGGCGTCGAAGATAATTAATGAGAAACTCGCAGCAGTCAATGAATACACGTTACGAGCCTTCCACCCGTAACCATATCACCTCGAATGTGCTCGATCTCGCGGGATCTTAGAGGGCTGAGCCTTCGTCGTACCGTGCTTTAATGGCCAATCTCTTAATTGTTTTCAGTGCATGGAACAGGCGTCATAGGCTGCTGCGGGGTGACCAGCCGGGCAGCAGAGGGCAGCGCAGAAAGAGTCAATTGCTGTGCAGTTTACTTCCTCTGCTCCCACGTTCATGCCTCCTGCCCTTCATCAAGCCACGCTTGGTGGAGGGTGGTCAACTAACCCCCCACGATCCCGCATGGGGTCGGGAGGTCTGGATCCTGCAGTGGATTGACAAAAGGGGGCTTCACGTGCCCATGCATCTTCAACAGAGTACCATGCTGGCAATACTGTGAGCTGTTCAATTGGTATTTTGAGTGAATAATTTATTGTGGCTGCTCAGAATTCAGTTTAGCTCGTGAAAACTTCTTCACGAGCTAAACTGATATATATTCTTGCTTTGAAGATGGAATCTGCATTCTGTATTGTATGACTGTCCCCTGCAGTACAATGTTAACATTGCAGGACTTTCTACATTGCATTTCTTTAGAAATGTTAGCATTAATCAGCTTCCGTGGCTCTTCTGAAGAAAAATTTAATGTACACACACACAATGTGTCATATTTGTGTGCACGCATTTATTTGCGTTGTGTTTTCTGCTATATTTTCTAATAATTTTCTTTATCTGTAAACGGACTTCAATGATTCATTCTTCAATTTCGCATCTACATTTATTTTAAGTTTATTTTTATTTTCTTGTCTGTTGTGGCGTCAGACAATGTGCCCTCTACTCTTTGGTTCTTTCGGTAAAGTCACGTAGGTAGAAAAAGTAATAGAACCATACGTTTCGATCGCAACACAAGCAATCGTCATCAGGCGATGACGAAACGTCGTGATATATTATGTTTCTATCTACGTGACTTTACCGAAAGAACCAAAGAATATGGATTCCTGCAGTCACGAAAGCTTCACGTCAAGAATGTGCCCTCTGTTTTTCTAGCATTTCCCTCCCACTTCTAATGCACTATGATGTGCATGCAGGAACAGTGAGGAAAAAAGGTATTTGATCCCCTGCTGATTTTTTTACGTTTGCCCACTGATAAAGAAATGATCAGTCTATAATTTTAATGGTAGGTTTATTTGAACAGCGAGAGACAGAATGACAACAACAAAATCCGGAAAAACGCATGTCAAAAATGTTATAAATTTATTTGCATTTTAATGAGGGAAATAAGTATTTGACCCCCTCTCAATCAGAAAGATTTCTGGCTCCCAGGTGTCTTTTATACAGGTAACGAGCTGAGATTAGGAGCACACTCTTAAAGGGAGTGCTCCTAATCTCAGATTGTTACCTGTATAAAAGACCCCTGTCCACAGAAGCAATCAATCAATCAGATTCCAAACTCTCCACCATGGTCAAGACCAAAGAGCTCTCCAAGGATGTCAGGGACAATATTGTAGACCTACACAAGGCTGGAATAGGCTACAAGACCATTTCCAAGCAGCTTGGTGAGAAGGTGACAACAGTTGGTGCGATTATTCGCAAATGGAAGAAACACAAAAGAACTGTCAATCTCCTTCGGCCTGGGACTCCATGCTAGAACTCACCTCGTGGAGTTGCAATGATCATGTGAACAGTGAGGAATCAGCCCAGATCTACACGGGAGGATCTTGTCAATGATCTCAAGGCAGCTGGGTCCATAGTCACCAAGAAAACAATTGGTAACACACTACGCCGTGAAGGACTGAAATCCTGCAGCGCCCGCAAGGTCCCACTGCTCAAGAAAGCACATATACATGCCCGTCTGAAGTTTGCCAATGAACATCTGAATGATTCAGAGGACAACTGGGTGAAAGTGTTGTGGTCAGATGAGATCAAAATGGAGCTCTTTGGCATCAACTCAACTCGCCGTGTTTGGAGGAGGAATGCTGCCTATAACCCCAAGAACACCATCCCCACCGTCAAACATGGAGGTGGAAACATTATGCTTTGGGGGTGTTTTTCTGCTCAGGGGAGAGGACAACTTCACCGCATCAAAGGGACGAGGGACGATGGACGGGGCCATGTACCGTCAAATCTTGGGTGAGAACCTCCTTCCCTCAGCCAGGGCATTGAAAATGGGTCGTGGATGGGTATTCCAGCATGACAATGACCCAAAACACATGGCCAAGGCAACAAAGGAGTGGCTCAAGAAGAAGCACATTAAGGTCCTGGAGTGGCCTAGCCAGTCTCCAGACCTTAATCCCATAGAAAATCTGTGGAGGGAGCTGAAGGTTTGAGTTTCCAAACGTCAGCCTCGAAACCTTAATGACTTGGAGAAGATCTGCAAAGAGGAGTGGGACAAAATCCCTCCTGAGATGTGTGCAAACCTGGTGGCCAACTACAAGAAACGTCTGACCTCTGTGATTGCCAACAAGGGTTTTGCCACCAAGTACTAAGTCATGTTTTGCAGAGGGGTCAAATACTTATTTCCCAAATTAAAATGCAAATCAATTTATAACATTTTTCACATGCGTTTTTCTGGATTTTGTTGTTATTCTGTCTCTCACTGTTCATATAAACTTACCATTAACATTATAGACTGATCATTTATTTGTCAGTGGGCAAACGTACAAAATCAGCAGGGGATCAAATACTTTTTTCCCTCACTGTAACACGGTATCGCATACAAAATACGGACGTCCTAGAGACACGAAATTAAGGTTTGGTTTTGTTTCCTTCTTTGAAAAATATTATCAGCTACTGAATTAAGGGCCAAATCAAATTAAAAATATTACATTAACGAAGGCAATTAGTCAGTCATCACCACTCATTCTGGATAATTACCTCCTATCCAACATCCCTGCTTTTTTGCAGTCCACCCACGCTCGGACAAAATATTTTGTTTTAAGTTCACTTGCCTTGACACTTTGTTAAGTGGCCCTCCTGCTGTATTTCTGCCTTATTTACACGGGATAATCTCATGCTGAGAGCACGCACGGCACACTGACATAAACAGGCGTCCTTGGGATGCGAGTAGCATCCCACAAATTACAATGAAAAGATCGCGTGGGCTTGATGAGGCATTGGGTGTGTGGTGTGTGGTCAGCTGATTGACATGCAGTCATTTTTATGAAATGACTCACTAAAATAAAAACTGTGCCCCCCCCCCACTCCCCCCTTTGCTGGACATAATGGTGAAATAATAGCCTTTTGTTCTGCAGGTGGGGGAGGCTGCGTTATCAAAGCAGACGAAAGAAGAGGATGCTTTGAAGAAAAAAATATTCCACAATGAGTCACATTTACCAAGTGAATAAAGGTGCCATATTGCATGTTATCTATTTGTAACACGTGTTCATGTAATTATTTACACGTGAAGCGAAGTACGAACAATGCTATAACAAACCAATTCTTCCATTTGCTTTCATTTCCCTAAACAAAATGAATTCGGTTATGCATGTGTTTTTTTATTCTTCTGAAGAATAAAGGTTAACATGTAAAACGTTGATCAAATGTCCCGGGCGTTAACAGGTCCCGAATCCAACCAAAGTGTTTACTTGCTTAAAACAAATGTTGCTGGATAATATTGAACTGAAGATCCAACAGTAGGCTGATATACTAAAACATGATAAGGTGTATTTGTATGTGGAGATACCTAAACGATGTATACATTTGTGCATTTACCCATAATGAGCCACAGCTGATGCATGAGTTTGGATATCTAGACACTCAATCGATGCATCTGTTATTTATCGCTGCTCTGAAGGGTCAGATTGTCAGTCTCCTATACAATATGTGTGTCGTAAGGCAGTGTTTATGATGAATGCGGTGAGTTTAATTTCATTGTCATTTATTGAAAGATGATCCACGGCACGAGTGAGTTTGACAATCGCATTTCACATGGGCATTAAAAAACAAATTCTTCTCAATTGCATTCCACTTGTGCTTTCCATATCAAGGCATGAGAAGAGTTCCTAACGGAACTCTCAACACAGTGCATCAACCCTGTTCAGAAGTCTCTTTGTCAAGGGAAACCCGAGTCAAAACAATACATGATAACAGCAAACAGCTTCTGTGCAAAAAAATAATAATTAGAGTTCAATATTGTAAACATCAAATGTCACGAAAATCAAACGGATTGGTCAAAATGCAGATTTAAACATCACAACAGCAAACGTCATAGGTCCTCGTTAATGAAATTAACAATTTCCACGTCTCTGTTGAAATTATTTTAAAAAGGATAATGGTATGGCATGACTGTTAACCACACGAAACCGGGCCAGCTGATTATGCCCTGTGAAATTATTTTATAAGAACTCGATGTTATCAAATGATGCTTTAAAAGCATCCCAACGGAAGACATTAATGGCATTTTGTTTTGTTTAAATGCGTATCTTAAACTCACAGAAATGTCATTATTGGTTAGGCTCACCAACCTTCCACGAGGCGCTATCCCAACCCAGACTTAGATGGCTTTTCTGAGAAATTCAAAATAAAACAAAATTTCAGCAGCACAATCTAATTTTAGTCCTTCAATTTTTTGGCTTTGGCCCCACCTTTTTTATTTCTGCTAATAACACAATGTCATGTTTATTCTAAGGGTGCCTCAAGGGTAATGCTTTGAATGTCAGGCAGTCTGGAAGAGGAAGTGGGTGGCATTTGCTTTTGACATATACGGCCATCACCCTGCAGACACTGTCAAAATCTGCACCCTTCCTATCGACACTCAGCAAGCAACAACGAGCAACAGTGGCTGATTATAGGAAGAACCCAGGATGGTCAGTTCCATTTATAACAATTAAAAGTATGCATTTTCTCATATTTTATCCTAATTGTGCTATTCGTGCCATGTTATTAGATACAGAATGAATTTAGAAAATTTCATAAAGCAGTGCAAACCGTCATGGTAGAGAATTGCCCATGGAAGCAGATAGCACAAAGCCACCTCTGAAAGCCTTCAATTGACCTTTCCTCCACACAGTACAGAGCAGCACCTTCCCACCCATTCTGCAAGTAAGATGGCTGTTAATCACGTGACAGTAAAAGGGGCTTTTTTATCCAAAGAGATGGAATGGACAGTCAAATTAAGTGCAGTCATATTTATTGTGGTGGGTTTTGGTGCAGTCATTGGGGACCAAGCTGATATCATAAACTCACTCAATTTGAGAACTCAGCTTTATCACAGCCATGATTGAATCCCAGAATCATCCTGGATTCAAACCCAGAATCAGTCTGGATTCAAACCCAGAATCAGTTTGGATTCAAACCCAGAATCAGCCTGGATTCAAACAAAAAATCTGCCTGGATTCAAACCAACAAATCAGCCTGGATTGAAACACAGCTAAGTGCTCTGACCTATTAATGCACCTGACCACCTCCATAATAAGTTAATAAATATTATAAATATATGCCAATGCCAATAGGTCATTGGACAATTTTGGAATGCAGATGCAGCAACTGGTTTCGTGTGTGCTCATGTCAATCATTTTGAGGTGTGTAGCCTTAGAGTGTTTGTGCAGTTTTATAGATGTGAGGATTGTAATGTTGTGATAGAGAGATACAAAAAAGGAATACGTTCATTACAGAACATATAGAGACTAAATTATGCAATTCAAAGCGTAAAGAAGGGTAAGTGGGATTGGGCAGGACACGCCGCTGTCAGGGATGATGGCTGATTGTCAATAATAATAATGACGATTTGCAGCCCAGGGTTGAAACGTCCACTGGGGAGATGTAGTGGCTTAAATCAGCACGGGTATAGGTGTTAGGTGGATTGTTGCATCACAGGTCATACGAGGTGGCGACAGGGAAGGCCTTAATCCATTCAGTACATTGAGCGTGGCTGATGATTCTCCAATAACTGTTTACGTGACAACTCTTACTAATTGGCTGTCGGGTGGTGGCGGGTTCAACGACACATTTATATATTTACGCGATCTAACCCAAAAAAAACTGCATTATTATGGATTGCTGTGTTTGTGAAGCGTTTTCCTCGCTTCTCCTTATCACATGACTATACGCATAGCTTTCATTGTGGCCTTTATGGACTTCCTCCAACTGATTCTATTTGCTGCATATCGTGCAGAATACTGTATGCAACATGTGCGAATCGGAATAAAACATTGATTCTATGCATGTGTAATGACCGATAAATGACCCCAAGCTAATATGCTGTCTGGCAGCTATTTGAAAATAAATAAAGGTCTCCGATTGGTAGAAAGAGGCCTCCACGGTGATTGGTCGGGAGGCTCTTACTATTTCGCCGTCAGAGTCGTTACACATGTATTGCGAGCTGGTCATCCAGAACAGACCATACAACATATGACGATACAATGTCCGATCCACAAATACGAAGGAGACATCACAGCGATACAGTCCGTTACTCCTGACGATTGTGAGCTTAAGAATCGACATGATTTGATGATTCGATGCATGCATCATTGTACCGCTGTATTATAAATACTCTGGCTATGTTTTTACACTTAAAATTTAAAGGGTTATTTATTCACAGAATAAGTTTTAGCCAATGTAGAAATCTGTCTATGGGTGGTTTGTGTTCATCAAGGTTTAACAAGTTAGTAAATGCATTTTACAACGTTGCCAACATTTGTCAAATACTATACATTTTTACGCACAAAAATTACCCACCAACAAACTCTTATTTTAAGAAAATTTTGAAGTATAATTATTGCAACAACTCTTTGGATAAATGGGCAATTTCACTTTATTTACAGCCTAATGCACAAGCAAATAACTACCCAAAGTTTATGTCAATTCCATACTTTTAAAAGAAATTCTGCAAATGTTTTGGACAGTCATTTTCTGTAATTGTCAGATTTTAAAACAAGAATGTAATCTTTGGGTGTTTGCAGTGCAATGATTGTTTGCCCAGTCAGCAAAACAGTGAAATTAAAAAGTATCAACCTCTCAAGCCCCTCTCCGATGCGTTTGTAGGTTTTAATGCGTGTTGTTCAGCATGATGTCCAACATTTCGCTCCACTTGTTGGGAGCTTCTTCAATTCCTGAATTCAGGTCCTGAAAAAGCTCCCGGAACGTGGAGCGAAACGTCGGACATCATGCCAAACATCGCGCGGTACAACCCGAAAATACATCGGAGAGCTGTAACATTGGAATTTGTTCAGCAATTCTATACCTTTTCAGGGCACTCACTAAATTCATGACGAATTCAGACGGCTTTACAGCATGAGCCATGAAAGATCAGGCACGCAGTAGCATTGTATAGCTCTCATTAAATATTGAGTTTGCATGCCTGGCAATGAGTTTTGTGTTAATGTTTGCCACTTTGTGTTGCAGATAAACCATGGATCCACAGACCTGAGTTACTCACTGATGGATTCGTTTCGTACAATGTCAAGGTAGTTAAACATTTGATTATCCAGCGACACATTACCTTGGTGAATTAATGTCAGGAATTCCATTATCTAAACACAAGTATAATACATTACGTTTCGTGTATTTGTTTTATTATACATGCCATCAACTGATCACCAATGGTGCAACTGATGTTGGCCTTTTGGCATTCTCTGGTCTAACACTGGTTGAGACGAGGCCCTAAAAGAAGGCTGTCTCTGGCGTAGACCAATTAGAGCATGTCTGTGTTTGCATGTTCACCACAAGTATGTGTGGTTAATGCAGACATGATTCCTTGCAAAAAAAGGTTTATGTTTGTGTTTGAACATCTTAACACCTGTTTTATTTCCAGAAAGCGTAAAACCTATTGTTATATCTTCTTTGGTTCTTTCGGTAAAGTCACGTAGAATGAGAATAAAATAATAAAATAAAATAAGACAATTAAATTCTCACGACGTTTCGGCCACAACACAAGTAGCCTTCTTCAGGTGAAGGAACAGAACTGTCGGGACGACAGAGCTTCAATGAACGCTGCTAAGATTCGTAGTGTCTTTTAAGCTGGGTGAGAGAAGTGAGGCACCTTGACAAAGGAGTTTACATATCAAACAGGAGCATTTAGCATCGTGATACTTTCATACTGGCAAGAAAGGCCCCATGTTGATGCAACTAATTTGACGGAGGGCTCTTCATGTGTATTGTCACAATATGGATTTGAAGCTTTCGTGACCGCAGGAATCCACACTCTTTAGTTCTTTCGGTAAAGTCCCCTTAGATAGAAAAAAATGTATTGTCACACTTTGTTTAACCGAAAAATCCGATTCTCAAGAAACTTTTCACGAGGGTCTTGCGAAAAAAATTGCAGTAGGGGGGGGGGGGCGACATTGTGGCACGTAACCCCAATCTGAGTGAGTTTGACAGTTTACTTAACCGTCAAGTTATATTTCCAACTGCCAGATGTCAAGACGCTGAGCAGGGTTGAGCTGCTAAGCTACACGGATGGATGATTGATTGGGAATACCAGGTATTGTAGTAATCCTGGGTTGTGGCGTGGCCAAAACATACCAACACAGCAATTGGGTTGAGTCCATCTGTGCGGAATGTCGAATGTTATCTCCTCCTATGCATGTTTTTGCTTTTCCACCTGTCAACTCAATTTTTTTTTTCCCACAAGCCAAACACTCACAAATGGATTTGGTCAAACATCGCAATGCAGGATGCTCCTGAAATGTAGCTTCAAGATAGAGTCAGACATCCCTTCATAAATCGAACACACTTCTATTCATACATCTTCAAGTAGAAACCCGCGAGTAGCTTCAATATCTGTCGATGTTTATCGAATGCCACATTTAATTGCTACGATCTAGCAGTAATTTGAATATAACGCTTTGTTGATAGCTTTGTGTTCTTCGCCAATTTCATAGCTTTTGGTCAACATGAAGCAACTTCACGACCTCATTAGAACAAAACCCAATGCAACATCATCACTGTTAGCGAAACCCCGTCATCGCAAAATTCACAACAAGAAAGCATGACACGCGCCTCACTCATATTAACTGTCTTCAATTTGTTCTTCCACAGTTCCTTGGCTGTTATGAAGTGGAAGAGCCCAAAGGTCTGCCAGCTGTTGAGGGTGCAGTAAGGAAACTGAAGGTACCCTAAAGTGGCCGCAAGCATTTCTGTAGCTGTTAAAAACAAGACCTGCTCAGCCAGTCACTGAACAGGTCCCAACTCTCCCCCAATCCCCAACGCTATCAACCCGCACTGAGCAGCATGAAAAAGTACAGTCAAGCAACCCCCATGATCCACGCTGTTATCAGGAAGCCACTGAAACTTTATGCACTTTTGAATCATCTTGATCAGTGGGTTTTAACCTGGGGTGAACGCACCCCCTGGGGGGTGCGAGACATGCCGGATTTTTTTCAGAAACACAAATTAAGTGAACAGGCGCGTAAGTACATCTAAATTGTTGCATCAAACGCTCTGTAATTATAAACATTAAACATGTTTTAGCGGTTGAGCACCAAAGGGGTGCAAGGCTGCAGTAATGGTTAAGAACCACTGATCGAGATTGAAAACTCATTTCTTTAGAGCTGCTGTTTGTGTTTAGTTTGTTGTCATCCCCCCACAACCCCTAGTAGTAGTTGGCTACGTACGGTGCGAAAGTTCAACATACATGCATACATACGGCCAGGTGAACACTTCATCCAGCGGTGGTTTGACAATGGGCTGCACATTACAAGTCATCATTAAACATAAGTATAAATACAAAGATTCCCCTTATAGCCTTAACAGGCTGTTGAGGCAAGTGCTGTTAGTAGGCACCTCTGAAGGCTGACATGGCACACGAGGAGGTGGGTGGCCAGCACCACGCCCAGCCACCTTTGTCTCCCCAGTGGCGATGTTTACACATAAGCATCACACTTGCACACATGCCGGCTTTTCTTAACACAGAGGCGGTTGTTGTTATTGTCCCCCCCCCCCCCAAAACGTGTGAATATTCACGATATTACTGCTTGCGCGTTCGTGTGTGTCAAATTGCCTCCTCATTCAGTTCGCGAATCTCATCAAAAGGTCCGAGGGCCATAAACTACGGAAGGCGCTCCTGCAGATCTCGGTGGTGGGAGTGCGACTTCTGGACTGCAAAACGAAGGCATGGCATTGGCATAGGGCCGTGATCCAACTTTACCAGAGATGGAGTCGCTCTGGCACTGATTAATTGGCCCTGAAACACGGGGTGGGGGGGAGGGGACTTTAAAAATTTCGTCAGCCACAGAATAAAAACAAATGATTGCGGTGATGAATAGATTTTCTTCAGCTTCAGCATGGCTTCAACAGCGGAGGCAAATCTATGTTTTGTTGGAAAAAGAGGTAAAAAAAACAACTTGCGGAAATTGTGCCAAAAATCAAATGCGACTTTTCTAGATTAGTTGGAAAAATATATTTTTCTGTCTTTCAAAAGTGAGTAGCAAGAATACAAATGTAAAATGTCTTGTAATTTACAGCGATACTACACTTTACTCTGCATTAAGAAGCGTGAAAAGGTGCATGCTTGGAATTACATGTATAAATACTCATTAATTGGCTGAAAACATCCGTATATATATGGGACTGCAGAGCTTGGGGAATTATTGGTGCTGGCTCACCACCTGGCTGCCTTCCATATTGTCTGTGGATTCATCAATGATTGTGAGATGCAATTTGCATGAACGGCGCTCCATGAAACGAAACATTATTATATCGTAATTATATTGAGAGAGAATAAAGTTGAGCTTGCACAGGGCGCATCGAGGCTCAAAGAGATGATGGGCGATGGTCAAGAGTAATAACGGAGTGACAAACAAGAATTGGAGTTTGTCCGAGACTACGTCAACCAAGGGGACGGAGCGATGAAATCAGCTGATATGCAAGTGCTGGGTGGATTTTCGCAATGCAGTATTCCGAGAGGTGGCAGCCGAATTGGGGATGCTTTCATCCAGCAGTGGATTGGCTCTGGCTGACGATCATAATTTAACAAAGACTAAATTGCTTTTAAACGTCCTCAGATATTTTTGATTTAAAGCTTTCGTGACTGCAGTAATTCATATTCTTAGTTTTTTCGGTAAAGTCACGTTGAAGAGAAACAACAGAATAACAAAATATATATAAAACAATAAAAAATTCTCACGACGTTTCGACCATAACTCAAACGGTCATCATCAGGTGGTTTTGCATAAATTTATGCAAACCGACACACCTGATGATGACCGTTTGAGTTATGGTCGAAACGTCGTGAGAATTTTTTTATTGTTTTATATATATTTTGTTATTCTGTTGTTTCCCTTCAACGTGTCCTCAGATATGTTTGCTCTCTATCGTGAAAAAAAAAACATCAACGGTAACAAAAAAATAGACGCTCGATATATACCTCCACTCGGTGTACACTGTGCTGAGTGCGGCCATGTGGTTGTTGCGTGTGTGTTTGTCTTTTTAGGAAATTCTACATAGCTGCCCACTTGAACGAATTTCCTTCTGCGCACACCATGAGGCCGATCGTCACGTGTGCACTTTCATTTGCAAGAACGTACAATGGAAAAAGCACATGTGCTTTGCACTGGAGGGTGAAAAATGTGTACGTACTGGTCCACTTAGGCTCCATAAACACGCCACTTCTGCTGGAGCAGCCATAACCCACAGCTAATAGTATATTCACTCATGTGTACTGAACTGTGTGTGTGTGTATATATATAGTGGGGAGCGCAGGTGGAGTAGTTAGCGGGCTATTCTACGAAACCCGCGACCCGAGTTTTATTCCTGCTCATGGCCGACATCAGTGACGATTTATCTGAACTGGTCCTGGGACTTTTCTAAGTCGACTCAGCCTCAAATGAGTACCTGGTGCAGTGTGCAAACATCGCCACTAGGGAGACAAAAGCGGCCGGGCGTGGTGCTGGCCACCCACCCCCTCGTGCGCCGTGCCGGCCTTCATAGATGCTCGCTAACTGCACTTGCCCCAACAGCCTAAGGCCATACGGTGATCTTTGTCTTGATATATGTGCGATACTGGCGTACGTGGTGTAATGGTAAAGCGCACTGAATCCAGGCGTCAGACTCGCAGTTGAAATAACAATGCAAGTTTCTTAAATCCTCGTTCCTCTGTCCGCAGTCGATCGGCAGATCATCGCATGCGGTGGGGTACGATGTGGGTACACCGAACTCTCCCAAGTTGTCCGGCCCGCTTAGAAGAGTAGGCAAAAATACCCTCTGGGGTCCTTTAGGGCTCGCTTTAGTGGGGGCCCTTCCGCCAACAGTTGCACAAGCAAGCAATTGTAGGGCTTCACCTCTACCACCTTTACCTGGACTCTATATGCATCGAGAGCGTGGAACAGATTTTTTTGTGTTGAGTTTGTTGTCCATTATCCGCACCTCCGATTAGCAACGGTTGGCTACGTACGATACGAATGAAGTTCAACACGCGTATATAACATCTAAAAGGCAAATTATTGTTTACCATTGTTGACCATGCTACGGTTCCACTGACTTGCAATAGTCCCATCATCATTCGTGCCATCATCATTACTGCCATCGTCACCACTAGAGGCCACGCTCGTGTAAAATAGGCAGGTTTCGTGCGTTCAAATGGGGGCCCATGTTTCATCTCCCCGCTGAAATAAAAGGACACCGACACTGATCGCGCTCATGTCTTTTTCTTTTTTTGGGGCCACAGGCAGAGAATGTGACTCTGACGATCGGGCAGGCCTTCGACCTGGCTTATCTGAGCATCCTGAAGTCCCGAGGGCGTGACGTCGAGGCACGGCAGCACGTGGCGACTTTGGTGAAACGGGTGAGATCCCATTTGATGCTGCTCCTGCTGCTGCTGCTGCTTGATGGCATTACGAAAGCACAACCGATGCAACGGGATCAGCGCTCGCTCGCAGACAGCCTGTGCGGAAAATACGAAAGACAAAACAAGCCGGACAACTGTCAAGGCGGGGGAATCGATTTTATTGAATAATTGGGAAGCGAGTTTTCTTTTAAAGACGCCGCTAAAGTCTACGCAGCACCGGGCCTTTTCGGTAAACTTTGGAAATTGCTTCATAACAAATCGGCTGAGGACACGTGTTGTAGAGTACAAGCTTGATATAAGCATATACGTATAAACACACCTTACATATGTAAGCCAATTTTGGTATAAGAAACACATCATTATGTTATACTGGTGCGAGGGAAAGCGAAGAGCAACCTCTGATACAAGCACACTACAGATATAAGCACAATATCCAGCTGATATCCAGCTTCAACTGTATCATAATGAAAGTAGTTGTAAATGTTTTGTTGCATTTCACTTTCCTCCATTACAATCATTTAAAGGAAACACAAATAAACCCATTGACTGTAAATTAGCTATTTGGATGCGTTATATTAGCAGAGGACATCTTTTTCTATGTTTAATTATAACTCGTTCTGGTAAATTAATGATGACCTTTACTTATTCTGGATGGCCTTGTTGAGTCTCAAGACGTTTTCAGGAATGTCGGGAAAAGGGCGGTTTGGCCAATTCTATTAATCAGTGTTTGACACAAGTGAGAAAACTGTAGCGTCCAGAGCAATATTTCTACTTTAATTTTGTACAGCGTCATTGTACGTAGCCAACCATGGCTATTCTGAGGTGTGGGGGAAGGACAAGCAGCTAAACCAAACAATCATTTCTAAACAAATACATTTTCAATCTAGACGATTTAGAAGTGCATAGCTCCAGTGGCCTAATATTGCAAGGAAGAGCGTTCCAGATGGCCGAAAGAGCGCAACTGAAATCGCCGCGCGATGCGGTGACCGTCTTTGTTCAATGGTGAGGCCAAAGGGTGATCGGAGTTTGCGTGATGGTTTATGTGCCTTGACGAGATCAGCAAAGGTATTGTGGTTCATTGGAGCAAGCACCTTGTGTGTAATGAGTGCGATATTAGTATGTATGCCAATAGCATGCCATAATGCTGTATAACCCATGCAAATGAGGGGGTAAAAATAGTAAAAGCTCTGCACGAATTCATTTTTTTTAAAGTCTATGCCGTATTCTTGGTTATTTCGGTAAAGTCACGTAGAAGGGAAACAATAAAAGAATAAAAATATAAAACAATAAAATTCTCATGACGTTTCGACTGCAACACAAGCAATCATCATCAGGTGTGAAAACCACAGCAAGAAAATTTGAAGAAAAAAAATGAACCAAGAATATGAATCCCTGCAGTCACGAAAGCTTTAAATCAAAATTTAAGTCTATGCCGTGTTTTCGAGTTGCACCTCGTGTTGTTCGGCAGGATGTCTGACGTTTCGCCCCACGTACTAGGAGCTTCTTCAGGAACTGAACTGAAAAATACATGAGAGACCTATATAGCACAAGCGTAAAAACCTACACGTTAGAGGTAATAATGTTCCATCAACTTTTTATACTGCAATCTCCCAAGCCTACAACGCCTGTTATTTTCAGACAGTTTCACATCCGCATGCCTAACCAGGCTTAGCTACCGAGATCTAACAAGATTGGGCACACTTAAGGTGATTAGTTTGTAGTTTTCCAATGCAATTGTCATTTATTTGTTATGTGCCTCTTCAGATTTCTGGGCTGGAAATGGAAAATACGGATCTGAAAACTAAGTTGGAAGAGATAATGGAGAGAGTGAATGGTTCAAACAATGACTTCTCAATGAGTGTAAGTGACGGCATTTGAATAACACAGCTGACTTCCTTTTATTTGCCTTAATTATGCAAAGTTGGAATTTTTAATTTGACATTAAATATCTTTCTCGCTCTCTCTCTCTTTATGAGTCACGTTCTGTGGGGTGCTCACAGTTCGCCCTTCAAGTTGCACTAAGCGATTGTGTTAGTTGCATGCAGAATTATCGTCACGACGCAGAGCTTCCAATTTCAAGTAATGAAGAACTATTCATGCAATTGTAAGAAATATATATACACATATATAGGCTGATTCTAAAGTCCTTGCTTGGGTATAAAGTAACGTGTCTTCACGACGAATACTGTTACAGATTTGGAATATGCCTTATTACGTAGGGTGGATCAACAATGTCACTTCCGATTAGCACGGTTGGCTACGTACGTTGCGAAAAAAGTTCAACATACACGCGTACATTTCACTCTTCTTCACTTCAACTATTTATTGCAATCGAAAGGCCAGGCTGAGGATCCACGACCCATTAAACTTGAGAATCCGGTTTAATAACAGATGCCTAAATCTTGGACTCGGACGAAGGTTCTCAGCCGTGCTGGTTCATTGCTCCGAACCCCAAAACACATGGCCATTGATACCGAACAAAGAAGCCATACATTTTATAATATATTAAACATCTACACGGACAAAACCTTTTTTTAAAGTATGCACGACATAAGATATATAGTTTACAATTCTTTGTCAACCCACTGCTGGATGAAGGAACCTCTCACACTGCTGTATCAGTCATGGGGATCGTTTGTGTTACTTCACCACGCTGATTAGTGTGGGTCTTCGAAGTGCTTGACTCAGGTCCGGTTGAGATATCGCTCACCGGTGATGGTCAGCCATGGCTGGGAAATCCAACTCGGGTGGACAAGAGGCTCACGGCACAGTACACACAACCACTGTACGCCACCGCTCCAACCCATGGGTTGTAGAGAAGAAACATAAACATCGGTTGTCAAATCAAATCGCTTGACCCGAATCGCGACAATTCATCGAATGGGGGGAGTGATATGCGACTCAAGTAAATATACAAATGTCACAGTCCTTTGTGAAGCCACTGTTGGGTCCCACTAGGTATAAATACAGGCGATTATTAATGCATATGTGCATACCTCCGCGCGCGAGGCTGCTGGCGATTGGGTTTCCAGAGGAAAGAGAGTATGGTTTCCTTAACGATTGTTATTTCCTCAAATATGCGTGACCTTACTAGTCCTCTTAATAGCTCCCCCTTAGTAATGCACTGTATCACACCGGGGTATTCTGAACAGTTTTGGCATTTTCTGACTTGCTACCGTGCACGAGTGCCGAGAGATAGAATACTAATTTTTGTAACGTTTTTTTGTGGTTCAAATTATGATGTAAAACCATCTTTCCGTTGTGGGATGCGTACTATATTTGCACTCTCGACCTACGAGGGCCTTCGCGTGACGTGCGGATCGTGGGGGTTTATTTGACCATACTTCGCCACGTACGGCCACCGTGGATCGGTGGATGGGTCGAGAGCACAGACGTCAACGCGCAGTGCAGTACAACGAAAGAATGTGGTCGCACTGCCCCCTGCCGTGCTCCCACGTAGGTCGCGCAGCAGCCAAAAACAACCTGGCGCGCGTGTTGGCCAACCCTTCCAATTGCCATGCCCAGGCTCGGGCCTGCTGAGCTTCTAAAAAGTTGATGAGGTTCGCTGCATTCCAGGCCAACTGGCAGGATGTATAAAGTCTTCATGCCATCGTACAATACAAGCACTACTGCTGCTTGTGTGTATTTATGTGTTTTGGTCTTTCGCCCAGCAACTTTTGTACGAGGCATTCCCCATGACATATCGGTCATGGGAGTTGTTTGGTCCATACTTCACTACACTGGTCAGCGCAGGTTGAAATGGGAATTGAACTAAGGGGCCGTTCATAAATGACGTCACGCACCTGGGGGGGGGGGGGGGGGGAGTCAGACATTTGTGACGATGTGTGACGAAGGGGGGCGGGGTTTTTAGAAATGTGACGTCACATCAAAATTCGCAACTTGAAATAAATATTGACAACACATTCTACTTAATTAAATAGACTTTTTTTTAAATAAATGTTTTCTCCTACAACATCAGAGTGCAGCGCCACATTAAATACGCATTACAATGACAATAGTTTAAAGTTATTTGAAGCATGTTTTTTTATTTATTTTTTGGGGGGTGAGGGGGGCAGAGCTTTGTAACGTCATATTTGAGGGGGGGTCTGACTTTTTGTGACGCCGTGTGACTAGGGGGGGGGGGGGGTCAAAAATCGTCCAAAATCGCGTGACGTCATTTATGGACGGCCCCTAAGGTCACCATGAACCACAATTGAATAAACGTTGAGTTTAGAAATTCCAACCAAATATTTTTTGTACACTTTAAAAACGTTTTCTTTACGATAAAAAAGTCTTCATCTTTGAAGGGCGAACTTTTTCAGAGGTAAAGTTCGAATAAAGACAGCGTTCACGTAGACTGTGAACCCAAACTGCTAGTGACACCTTGTGGCCTGGATGCAAATTTGAATAATCATCGGCCATGCTGGATTCCTATTTTAATAGTTAAGAAAAAATATCAAATTCATAATTTTTTAAAAATTATTTTCAAGAAAACTTATCCCAAGGCTAGAGCCACATAAGTTAAACTTATAGAGCATACAGGTGAAGAAGGCCATAAGGAATCTGTGTTTTGTCAGCGACACCACGAGGAGTGAACTCTGGGTACATTGGTTGTACCTCACTGGTCAACTTGGCATGTTTTAAATTGCCAGTAAGTAATCTCAGTGCTTATTTTTTTACTTGGCCTTTGATTGTGTTGTTTAGGGTTCTGCCACCATTCATCAAAACGTGAGCCACACACCACCATTGGCTTCGATGTGGATCGGAGGTGAGTGTTAGAGAAATAGCCCACGAGCCTTTGAATAGCCACTATGCACGATACAGCGGCATATATTCGGCACGATGTCCGACGTTTCGCTCGATCTTCATGAACGGCGGACATCGCGCCGAGCAACGCAGCGGCACACAATCTGAAAATCCATCAGAGAGCTTTGCATCACAATCGCAAAAAAAAACAACATGCCATAGGATTGAATCTGATTCTAAATGGTTTAAAGCTCTTTCTCCGCCATACAGCCAGGAGTTGATCTAGCCGCAACACTCGATTGAGATCTCTGAGATCCACCGATCGTGCCCCCACCCCTACTCAGCCTAGTCGCGCTCCAGGCACCGAACCCTGGGGTGACCACGGGGACTTTTGTCCCAACGGCGCCCAGACTCTGGAATTCCCTGGTCCTTGGAGGTCAGGGAACTCGCAGTTAACGGGAAACTTTTTAAATCCCGGCTAAAGATCCCACCAGCTGTTTAACACCCCCCCCCCTCCCATCTCTCTCTCTGTCTCTCGTTATCTATCTGGTCTGTTGAGTCTTTCTCTCCCCGCTCTGAGATTATTGTTTATTGCGCTCCACTGCAGGGAGATTATGTTTGATTCACTGGCGAATGGATTCATACAATTTAAGTCTTTAGCATGAGACTGCAATATAGAACGTTCGGCTGACACTGCCTTATGAGTAAAACCAATCGACCTCTGTATTATCTAGGGCCCACGTTTCCAAGGTGAAAGCATAAAACTTTGTCATACAGTATTTGTGCCGACTTTCAGATTTCGAGCCCTAATTGTTTGATTTGAAGCTTTCGTGACTGCAGGAATCACTCTTTGGTTCTTTCGGTAAAGTCACGTAGAAAGAAAATATTATTTTATTTATTTTCTTTCTACGTGACTTTACCGAAAGAACCAAACAGTCATAATTATTAATTTGTTCAGTAATTATCTACGTTAAAGCATATTCAGTACCTTTGTAGAAAACTCACAAAGAAGCAAACATAGTTATTTAGCCTCTATACCTGTGAATAATAATAATACAAAATAATTTGAACCTTTTGGTCATTCCATTACTGGAGGATGGTTTTCCCATACTATGTGGTCTTGGGGATTGTTTGGCCATACTTCACCACGTTGGTCAGTGCGTGTTGTTGATGGGAGGTGCCCAAGACTGGTTCAGATATTACTCGTCACCGATGTAATCCTTGGTCGGTAATCGAACTCAGGGAGACGGGTGTCACAATGCAGTGTCCTAACCACTGTGGCATCACTCCACCACTTGACATGCATTAAAATGTAGACGTCAACCATCGCAGCCTTTGCAAAGAAATATAATGCAACATCACTTGTGCCATTGAAGATTATCACATAGTTTAATTAAATATTTGAGGGTGTGTGGTTTGGAACTAAAATAGACGACTTTCAAGTATGGAGAACAATGTAATCCATTTTATTGTAATTATTTTTAACGCAATGATCTTTTGGGATCAGATTCAGCAGCAGTGATGAGTGACCAAGCAGAAGGGTTACCCATCAATACAGATGCAAGCTTTTTGGAAATGCAGGCAAGTGACGACCACTGTGTATCTGATATCACAGCATAATGTATAATTCAGCACACATCTAGACTCCACATGAGTGTCACATTTAATAATCATTAAATAGGAGCCTTTTGGCCAAGATAAACCGTACAAATGTAACGACAACCACAGACCTGTGCAGACCTTGACCATTCCATCACTGTGCATTTTACGCACATTTCACATCATTCAGCTTGCCAAGCTTTCCCATGTTTATTTTCAATTCCATACTTTTGGCAGAAAATTCAATTTATAGCTTCCCCATAAAATTGAATTGATTTCATCATCATCATGATCACTATGAGCCACAATCCAATGGGTGAAGGCCTCCCACTGCTATCGTCATCCCTCATGGTCTCGTTATCCAAAAATACATCGAGCTTCTGTGCACGAGCTGATTCCATTGCTCCATCTCCACGGTGAATGGCCACCCTCTGGTGATTTCCCACCTTTGGCCACCACTTTGTCGTGAGTCTCGACCGCCGGTTATCCTCCCTTCCATCGAGTTCTGATCCAAGTGGTCTCTTAGGTACCAATGCCAAGCAAGCACCTCTGCGTAATTCTTTGCGCACGTTTCAGCTCCCTCTTTGCCAATTTCCATATTTCTTATGCAGATGCCATAGCAGGTAATATACGCTGATTTAAACGAGAATTAAGAGGTAAATTAAAAACAAGTTTGGAGATATTTTAAACAATGCAAATCGATGTTCCAGTATATTTAATATCTTACATTGATTTTAATCCTGTGTTATGGAGAAATTAAATTAGCATCTTCAGTTTACGAGGATATTCACTTCGAGGCATGAACCCAAGCCAATAAAAAAAACATCTACAAAATTGTATCTATACTAATTTTTTAAATGAAAATTATAATAATTTACAACCTTTTGTCAATGCACTGCTAGATTAAGGTCTCCCCATGCTTGTTAGACATGGGGATTTGTGACCGTACTTCCCCATGCTGGTCGTGGTTTGGTGAAGCGGCGAGTGGGGAGGGGGGGGGGACAGAACTGCTTCAGACATCAACCCATGACGGAAGCAGGGCTCTGGCTGAGAATCGCGCTTAGGTTGTGCAGATTCATTGTGCTGCACTCACCTTTCCGCTGCGACAGATTACAGTCAGGTCGCACTCATTGCACACGAAGTGCTTGCTACAAATGAACCACGCTACTTTGCTTATCTCGTCAAGGAGCATATAAACCATCACGCGAAACTCCGGCCATTCTCGCAACAGCTCGCCATCCAACAAACACGGTCGCTGCGTCGCGCGCTTTTAGATGCGCTTCTGCGGCCGTCTGGAACGCCCCTCCTCCCGCTATTAGGAAGCCACTGGAGCTATGCACTTTTAAATCATCTAGATTGAAAACTAATTTCTTTCGAATGTATTTGTTGTGTTTAGTTTGTTGTCCTACCCCCACACCTCCGATGAGCACGGTTGGCTACGCACGGTGCGAAAGATGTGCAACACGCATGCATGTAAACGCTCGTGAAATTGTTCCCCATGTCGATGTTATTTTTCGTAGGGAGTCACGCGCATTAAACAAGGAGTGGGTGAAGCTCTGCTCTGTGACCTGCTGGACAGCCAATGCTAATCCTGTGCCTTTGCGCGTGATTAAAATGCTGCACGTCACTCGCAGGATTGGCAATGAACTCGACTGCGCCATTAACCATCGTAGTGTTTGAGACACATTTTTTTTCGTTATCACACTACTCTGCCTCGTCTAATTTAATACACTTTCAATAAGGGGACGTCCTCTTCTTTGGTTCTTTCGGTAAGGTCACGTAGAATGAGAATAAAATAATAAAATAACACAATAAAATTCTCACGACGTTTCGGCCACAACGCAAGCGGCCGTCTTCAGGTGAAAGGTACAGACCTGTCGGGACGACAGAGCTTGCGTTGTGGCCGAAACGTCGTGAGAATTTTATTGTGTTATTTTATTATTTTATTCTCATTCTACGTGACCTTACCGAAAGAACCAAAGAAGATGAATCCTTGCAGTCACGAAAGCTTTAAATCGAAATTTAAAGGGGCCGTCCATTAATGCCATCACGCACCTAGAGGGAGGGGGGGGGGGTCAGACACTTGTGACGATGTGCGACAAGGGGGGGGGGTTTGAGAAATGTGACGTCACATCAAAATGCGCAACTTTAATTAAATATAGACAACACGTTCTACTTAATTAAATGTTTTCTCCCTCAACATCAGAGTGCAGCGCCACATTAAATACGCACTACAATGACAATAGCTTAAATCGATTTGAAGCATGTTTTCTTTTCAAAATGGAAATATGGTTTTGGGGGGGGGGCAGAGCTTTGTGACGTCATATTTGAGGGGGGTCTGACTTTTTGTGACGTCGTGTGACAGGGGGGGGGGGGTCAAAAAATCGTCTAAAATCGCGTGACGTCATTCATGGACGGCCCCTAAGCGCAACAATTGTGTGATCGAATTTGCTTCCTACAGTCTCGTAAGTTCATTGATACTTTTATTCAGGAGCTACTCTTGAATTGTGGGGAGTGGTGGGGTAACAGCTAGGACACTGCACAATGAGCCCTCCGAACTTGATGAATAAATTGTGTCGTTGGAAATTGATTTTTAAAAATAAAATTGCGGTGAGTGTAGCGGCCCCTAGTGGCTGTATGGGTCACGTAAACTCATTAGATACAACACACACACACAAATCAATATACCTCGATTATTTTGAACACGATTGAATGGATTTATGGTGAACTTCAAACTCCACGTTAATGCATAGATGCATTCATCGTTAAACACCAATTATTTAGACGTATGTAATACTCCGTAAACAAATAAAACAGTTCCTCATATTCTCGGTTCTTTGGGTAAAGTCATGTAGAAGGGAAATAATAAAATAATACAAAATAAAACATCATAAAAGAAAATTTTCACGACGTTTTGGCCACAACGCAAGCAGCCGTCCTCAGGTGAAGAACAGAGCTGTCGGAAAGACAGCTCCCTAATGAACACTGCTGTTCTTCACCTGGGGACGGCTGCTTGCGTTGTGGCCGAAACGTCGTGAAAAAATTATTTTATTATGTAAACATTTTTTCACTATTATTTTATTATTTACCTTCCACGTGACTTTACCGAAAGAACCAAGAATATGAATCCCTGCAATCACGAAAGCTTTAAATCGAAATTCAGTTCCTCATATTGAAATGTTGTGTAATATAGCACTGTACTCGCTAAATGAGATATTCTACAATATGATGTTATGTTATTTGAACTTAATATGACACTTATTTCTGGATGAAACTTACCATATTTCGATTTAAATCTTTCGTGACTGCAAGGATTCATCTTCTTTGGTTCTTTCGGTAAAGTCACGTAGAATGAGAATAAAATAATAAAATGATAAAATAAAATAACACAATAATATTCTCACGACGTTTCGGCCACAACACAAGCGGCCTTCATCAGGTGAAGGGACGAGACTGTCTGGAGGATAGCGCTGGAGTGAGAGAAGCCACGCTTAGATCACGACCTTTAAGCTGTGTGAGAAAAAAGGTCGTGATCTGAGCGTGGCTTTTTTACTCCAGCGCTGTCCTCCAGACAGTCTCGTCCCTTCACCTGAGGAAGGCCGCTTGTGTTGTGGCCGAAACGTCGTGAGAATATTATTGTGTTATTTTATTTGATCAATTTATTATTTTATTCTCATTCTACGTGACTTTACCGAAAGAACCAAAGAAGACTTACCATATTGTTTCAGTACAGATAAATACAATAGCTCACGCAGCATTTAATAACATGATATAGAGTTTCTGAGCACACAGATAAACATGTAAAGGCCAATCTTGATTTGAAGCTTTCGTGACTGCAGGGATCCATACTCTTTGGTTATTTCGGGTAACGTCACGTCGGTAGGAATAAAACAAAAAAATCACGACGTTTCAAAAGCAACACAAGGCATCGTCTTCAGGTGAAAATTGCGATAGCCACGATGTCTGCTGCTGTCGAAACGTCGTGATTTATTTTGTTTTATTTCTACCTACGTGACTTTACCGAAAGAACCAAAGAGTATGCAAAGGCCATTTAATATATCTGTACTTGAGTTATCTTATACACACTTTATCATGAGTTATTAAACATCAGGACAAATTTTGAAATCTGAGTACGGTATTAAAATTCTACATGCAGAATATAATCTCATGATCCATGCTTTAAAAAGATTGATAATGGGTTGGGGATCTTAATTCAAATATTGCATTGTAGCATGCACCATCAATCATCGTGTGTTCGGTCAATAAATTGTTGATGTTAAAATAAGCCTCGATTTTGCATAATTTTTTCTCCATTGGAAAATCTTTCATACAAGTAATGGCAACGTGAGGAAAATGAAGTACTATAAGCATGAGATGCATTATTAGAATCATTATGGTGCCCCAGGCCACTTTGGAAAATAAGCTATCCTGGTCTCACGAGTTATCATGTGGTTAAACGAAATACACATGGTACTTGAAGAAATACAATCAACCCACCTCTAGAACAGCGATTCTATCAGCATGTGTACATCAAGGCGCAGCCTTGCAAATTTTTAGTTTTCCAACGCCACAGCTGTCAGAGGGGCGGCCTTCACTAGAGAGAGGTTTGGAGAGTATATGCATGTCCTATTTGGCCTACTCGTCCATCCTGGCCAGACGTCTTTAAAAGGCAGGAGTACTCGGACATCCGATTAGCACGGTTGGCTACGTAGGGTGCGAAAGAAGTTCAACATATCATTAGACCTCCTTTGCCAGTACCAAAATATAATAATAGAGCTGTTCCCCTTCTTTCTGGCAACAAAACTGAAACCTTTTTCCAATGACTCATGTCTGCATTAACCACAATACCTGCAGTCAAAATGCAAGTATTGCGGTTAATGCAGTAGCATGAAACCTTGTAAAAAGGTTTCAGATTTGTTGCCAGAAAAAAGGGAAACAACCCTATTATTATAAGTTCAACATACGTATGTACTCGCAATATAACCCACCGCACGCATCCTGTCCATTGTCTCACCACTGCAGTGTACACATTTATACGGCGGTATATTGCAGGACAGCACCGTGCATACTCTGAACAAGACACAGGTGCAGCCCCGCAAATAACTTCCTGCTACATTGACGAGAGGCGAGGTGACTGAAGAAACGCGCCCGTTGTAACAACTGCAGCACCGGGTGATCGAATCGAACGGACACGATCTCTGGATTGCACCAGGGCAGCATGACACAAAGCGCGTCTTTATCGATTTAAAAAAAAAAACCTCTCGTTTAGACAACTGCTTGGCCA